ACCCTCCGCTCCCTCTCCTCCAAATACGGCCCAATTATGCGCCTCAAACTCGGCCCACAAAACCTCGTCGTCATCTCCTCACCCTCCGCAGCCCAAGAAGTCACCAAATCCAAGGACCTCAGCTTCGCCTCCCGCCCTGAAGTCCTAGCCACCAAAATCGCCGCCTACAACAGCTCCAACATCTCCTTCTGCCCTTACGGCCCTTACTGGCGCCAGGTCAGAAAAATAGCCGTCATCGAACTTTTGAGCAACAACCGGGTGAAATCTTTTTTTTCGCTCATGCGAGAAGAAAGCATGAATTTAGTTCAAGAAATCTCCACAAAGACGCGCGATCCAATCAACCTGAGCGAAATGTTTGTGAGGACGGCGAACGCTGTGGTTTGCAGAGCGGCGTACGGTAGTGAGGGTGTGGATGATGAGAGGTTCCTGAAATCGGCGGAGAAGTTGATACGATATGCCTCCGGTTTTAGTTTGGTTGATGTGTGGCCTAAGTCGTGGATTGCGTACTTGCTTGATTTTCCTAAGGTCCAATTGATAAAGAGTGTTCATAGAAGGGTGGATGCGATGATGGATAGGATTATTGGAGAGCATCAGAAGAGGAAAAGTATGGACAAGAACTGGAAAGAGGAGGATTTAGTTGACGTTATGCTGAGGATTAAAGAGAGCGGGGAGCTTGACATTCCTCTTACCATGAATCAAGTCAAGGCTGTGCTCTTGGTACGTAATTATATAGCAGTTACTATAATATATCATGCGTGTCTGAAGATGCTAAATAAACTACTTTCGATTCTTCTAAATCTATGTATGAGTTCATTGCTTTTACATTTTTTTGTCAATTAATTTGCTAAATCTTAGGTGGTGTTTAATTGGCCGCTCCACAGAAACCAGATCTGCCCTGCGTAGTTTTTATTTAGCGGACTGATAGAGGGAGGACCAACTCTAACCTGCAGATTTTGGGCCAAAAATTAAACTAAGAAACTAGGTCGATCGATCATGACCTAGTTTTTGCCGAACATATGAAACACAACTAGACAAGGTCTAAGATCGATCCTGCCTGATATGTTAAGCAGGTGCCAAACACACCGTTAACATTAGCATCATTTTGATTAGGACATGACAGAATAATTCATATGTAAACTAACATTAATCAAGGATAGTTTTGCAATTGAGTAGACTACTTAAAAATGAACATGAATGTATAGCTAGCTCTAATTTGGTGTGACCTAGATGATATATATAGCGTTATAAAGGTACATTTTTATATAAAAAATGCTAACATACTGAGATAGTATGTAATTAACCTCACTTCTTTCTATTACAGGACATGTTCTTTGCAGGCACGGATACAACCTCAACGATCTTAGCCTGGGCAATGTCAGAGCTATGCAAAAACCCCAAAGTCATGGAAAAGGCTCGACAAGAGATAAGACAAGTCCTAAACAACAAACTAAAAATAGAAGAAAAAGACATCACCGACCTCCATTACCTAAAGCTTGTCATCAAGGAAACCCTGAGGCTCCACGGCCCAACACCTCTTCTCCTCCCTCGCGTTTGCCGTGAATCCTGCGAAGTCGGCGGGTTCACGATCCCCGAAGGCAGCAGAGTCGTCGTCAACGTGTGGGCGATAGCGAGGGATCCGAAGACTTGGGGCGACGATGCGGAAGTATTTAGGCCGGAGAGGTTCGAAGGGAGCTCGGTTGATTATAAAGGTGCGAGCTTCGAGTTCTTGCCTTTTGGTGCTGGGAGAAGAATTTGCCCTGGGGCTGCGTTTGGCTTGGCGACTATGGAGATTTGTTTGGCTCATTTGTTATATTATTTTAACTGGAAAGCTCCGGATGGGATGAAGCCTGAAGACTTGAACATGACTGAGGGTTCTGGGTTGGTCATGAAGAGAAAAAATGATTTACTGCTTATTGCCACTCCGTATCTAGATCATGACTAATGGTTTGGATATGTGTAGCATTAGCATTAATAAACTAGTTAAAAGCGTCAAAATAAGAATCCTCTCTTTTACTCAAATTAGTCGTTATTAGTAGTACATTATACGTTAATAATGTGTAACTCTGGGCTTATGCATCAGAATTGCGTGCTCGTGATCTAAGTGAGACTTTATAATAATAAAAAAAGTGAAGGGGATTGAGTTAGAGTTCGTGAGAGGGGAATTTTTTGCGGAACTAAAAGCTAATGTAAAATGTTCTTCTGGGAATGAATACTCCATTCCGCTATGCATCTATAAAATCTTTAAGGCTATGTTTGGTTTGAGAGAAAGGGAGAGAAAAGAAAAAGAAAGAGAAAGTAAAAAAGAAAGGAAAAGAAAAAGAAAAGAAAATGATATTCTTTTTATTGTTTGGTTAGAAAGAATATTGTAAGGAAAGTTAGAAGAAAATTCATAAGAAAGTCATTTTCTCTTGTTTGGTTACATTTCTAAGAAAAGAGGAAGAAAATTATCACAACATAATTTAATTCATACTTTTTTGGAATTAGATTCAGGTTTTAAATAATTTACAAAAAATAATTAAATTAAATTATGATTCTATCATATTTTCAAAAAAGTTACAAGTTACCGAACATGTATTTAAAAAAATTGGCAATTTCCTAACACAAAAACTTGAGTGGCCATCAACATCGAGTTTGTGAATATTAACAAGCAGAAGCACAACCACAATTCCGCTAATTAAAGAACAACATTTCTCACACATAATATTTGCAGAAAAAAAGGTCAATGAAAGAATCAAAACAAATCTAAAGTAAATGTCATGATATTCCTAGTATAAAGTATATTATCTGTTTCTAGTCACAAAGTCTATTACAATCAATTTCATATAAAAAACCTTAACCAACAAAATCTATTACAATCAATTTCATATATAGAGAATCTTAACCAAATAGAGAGAAAAATATGCCGAATTCCTTGGTTTTTGACTTTAGTGAGCCCATCAAAACATCAATCTCGCATCCTTCATCCCCTGAAATTAATTCAAAAAATTTCAAATAAGTAGAATATAAAGGTCCGATATAGTTATAACTTAGAATTTGCTACAAATTATATCTAACACTGTAAAAAGTAAAACATAAACGAAGACGTGAGCTCCAATATAGTTATAACTTAGAAGTAAACCAACATAACTCTCAATCACAATGAAGAAAGATTCCTACACTTCTGCCTATAAACCAATTACTGATTAATGAGAGGAAAGTAAAGCAGGTCAACCTACCAATTACTGATTCGAATAAGGATGCTCAAAAATATGATAAGAACATCCAAAGAAAATGGTATGAAGAGCTAAACATATGCAAGCAAGATTATCTCTACATCAAATAAGTCATATCTGAGACTCCATCACAAAATCGTTCATGCTCCAGTTTCCTCAGTGATAACTATCTGTATAACGTACTCTACCCCCAGTCCTCCATTTTCATGCCAGAATTAAAAAAAAATGTAGATCAGAGTAAAAGAGTGAAAAAATTTATATGATTTCTCAGGGTAAAAGAGTGAAAAAATTTCAATCAGAGGGTCATAGTAGTTAAATGTTTCTGTCAGAGCTACCTACTGACACAAGTACAAAGCCTTCGTCAGTCAGAGTTCCGGGGACAAACTACATGAATAGTTTTCTTCAAATAAAACTTAATCTTTTGATTTCTGTCATTTTAGCTAGCTACCTCTTTAATCCTTGGTGTTCAACTCTTTTCTTCTGAACAGGCACATCGACACATGTTTAAACCGTCTCAAATATTAGTCTAAGTATTCTAGAAGGGCATCTAGAATAAGTGTGAGTGTACTCTCTAGAAAATATTTTCCTAAAATTGAACAAAATTTAACGGTTAAAATGTGTTTATATAAACAAGGTCTTATCTGATCTTGAAAATGATTGGACCTAAGAGTTGTCACCTTGAGGAACAAATAATTTGTCTTGTCGTATTAATGCATTGTTCAACACTCGCGAATCTGAAGCGGACCCTTCCCAACCAGCTAGAACATATGTGAATTTCAAGTCAAAGGTGCAAGCGGCGAGCACATTTTGAGTTGGAAATTCTTTTCGGCCTCGATACCTTCTTGTATCTTCTTTTGTCACTTTCACTCGAAAATGAGATCCATCAATTGCGCCAATACAATTCTATAATAGATTAACAAAGTGATTAGAAAATGAGATCCATCAATTGCGCCAATACAATTCTATAATAGATTAACAAAGTGATTAGCAACTTGACTATTATTATCATGATAATTGCGCCAATACAATTCTATAATAGATTAACAAAGTGATTAGCAACTTGACTATTATTATCATGATGCAATATTTATTACAAAAATTTTATATTTTACCTTGAAATAGGGCCAGAATCTATGATTTGATTGAATTTCTAGTGGAACTTCGAAGCCATCTGGTTGTTTAATAAATTGATCCTCAAGCGATAGTAATGCCTCTAATACTTTGTGAAAGTGGCGGCTAACACTCTCACCCGAACGCATAAAATAGAACTTCACTGCTCGATTCTTCCAGTTATGAGAAAGAATTTGAAGGAACTTAGCAACTTGTTCCTCTACAGAACTGCGTCTATTATCATAAAGACGTCCCGTCTCCCTAAGCAACTGACACGGTCTAGCAAAAGCATTAACTCCCATGCGTAGTTGTTCACGACAATCTCTATCACTTTGTTGAGTAAGTCGCTCCATAAGTAAGTTCCTATGTTCATCTTTTTGAGCTAAGATTGATCTATCTATATACTCCACTTGGTAGATATTAGTTGCCATAATAGCACTTGCATATGCTGCATATGCAGCCACAATCCCTGCTGAATATTTTATCTTTTTCCTTTGTATAGCTCATTCATCATCTTCTTTTGTCTACAAATTCAAACACTTTCTATAGTAAGCATGTCACAATCATAACCAATTACACACACACACACCGCTATCTAGTTTTAAATTCGACATTATCCAATTACACACAAAAACTACACGTTGTAATCTAATAATGTGACCAGAGAGTTTAAATTCCTCTTCTTAACATTTTCATTCTGTTGGTGCGCGCGCACACGTGCAAAGTTTTGCTTGAATTAAAATTATATGATTTCTTCTCTCTTTTTTTCTTTCTTTCAGGATTTTGACATGATGTATGGAGGAGGTTGGATGTGTGTTGTGGGATCAAGCTTTGGCAGCTACTTCACACACTCAAAGGGGACATTCATTTATTATTCCTTGGGGTCTCTCAAATTCCTCATCTTCAAACAGATATCACCAACAAATTAAACTTCAAAACCAACAAAAAAATATGAACAGAATTTACCTCGGATGAATTTGTATTCATGTTGACAGAGAGATCCAAGAGAAACCTGCAGTTGAATCTGGAGCGGTTCCGAAAAGATCAAAGATATCACCAAAGACAACCTAATTGCGAGTGAACAAAACGAAAACATCAATTCAGATTTAGTGATCATCGATTTTGCCATTAACTACAAAGCAAAAAAAGAAAAAAAAAACATTTGAAAATTTCAAAAAACAAATAAAGAGCACCATCCTGAATAAACACTGATTATTGTCAGATAACAAAAGATACATAGCCATATCCAGGTAACTTAATCAATCACTTTTTTCAATACGAGGCTAATCACCTCTCACGTGAAGGAGGCCTGGAGAGTTCAGCTCATATCCAGGTAACGGGTACAAGTTCAGCAGTTCAAGGACAGAACTACTTCCAAGTGGATGTAATTAGTCAAGTTGAATGCCGGGAGTAGATTTTCGAATAAATTCGAAAATACTTCCTTCAAAGAGATAATTATGTTATCCCATTTTAAGTTTTAATAATAGTAGTTTATGTGCTTATGACAGGGGAACGAAAGAACCTGCAGTTAATTGGCTATGACCTGATTCCCATTTCGCGTATGGAGTTTCTTTATGTGGTGTTATTTTAGGATAAACGACACAGCATCCTTATTTAACAAATAAAGAGTGATTTAAGTAGCATAGACACTTATCCAACTCTTCAATATACACACACACAAAAAAAACTATTATAATTTATAACTAAAATTTATAACACTAAGCATTTACAAGCCAACAACTGAAAAGATAATTTATTCGAACGAGCAACTTAACAAGAAATGTAGGAATTGGAGTGAACATTATCTCTAAAAATCAGAATACAAGTTTCAGTTACAGAAAAAAAAGCCCATTTGCTTCCCCTATCACACGAAACCCTTATTAACACAACATCATGGCTCCTGCATGTTTTCAGACAGGATGAAATAAAGATTATTAGTGTTCGGAAGTGCAAAAGGAAGCAAATAATCAATGTGGACTGTTGTTAATGTTCCTTTATTTCTCTAACTTCAAAGTAAACAAGGTTTCTCAAAATTTGCAGATAACAAGAACTTAATAATACTTTCTCGAGATTCATTCAAATAGAACTGCATGAGAAGCATAATTAGGAGCATTTTGGATCGAGACCAAAACAGTACTGAGAAATAAACTAAATGTGGGAATAACCAAAATCCTCTTCATGAAATTAGCTAAAATTTTAAGATCTATTCCCTCACAATTGTTGACTAAATTGCCTGGATCCAAAATCGCAGCATACCAATCCATTCAAAATCTCGATCAGAATCTCATATTTCCATCAGATCGCTGGGTATACACAATATTCCCATAGCGAACAATCGATTCAAAATCTATACGAACAATATATTGGAAACAATAACTAGGGTTTCTAAGGTCTTGTTCAGACCGTACCTTATCTCGGCGTCGGCGTCGGCTCGACAGTGGGAGGCGGGAGGCGGGAGCCGAGGATGCGTCGGCGTCGGCTCGACAGCGGGAGGCGGGAGGCGGGAGCCGAGGATGATAATTTGGGGGAAGAGATCGGGATCGCCGCGATTGCGTCGGGGGATTTTTTCCGAGAGAGAGAGGGGACTCGAGTTTGGCGACGAGGAGAGATCGCGTCGGGGGATTTTTTCCGTCGCTCTCCCTCGTTTTCACTAGGGCTGCGGAGAGAAATGGGGAACGAAAAATTAGCTGTCTGTTTTTCTACAGTGAAAATGATTTTCGTTTTCTTTTTTGTTTTCTTTTAAACCAAACACCAGAAACTCACTTTCTCTTTCATTTTACTTTCCTTTCTCCCACTTTCTCTCAAACCAAACATAGCCTAAATTGTTTCAGCTTTTCCCGATGTGGGACCATACATGGGGTATCACAATACCAACTTGTCACTGAGGGTAGAAGTATTATGACCCTGCTTGCATGGGTGGGTCAGATTTCTTTGATTTACATGTCTATTTTTTTTCTTTTTCTTTTTCTTTTCTATTCGTTGCATACTTTTCTTATGAATATGATCACACAAACAACTTGTACAACAATCAACAATACCCATTGAGGGACTATATTTGTTATTATTGACACAAAAATTTCACAACACCATTTGAATGGCTAAATTCATCAAAGATCTAAGAGCTATATATATAACAAGGTGATCACAAAAACCAGTAGTTGGTTCAAATATTTCGCGATGAATTTCAAAATATTTAAAAGACTTGAGAGACTAATTTCAAAATGTAAAAACTTTGGGATAAATCCCAAAATGCTTAAAGATTTGGAAGAATAATTTTAAAATATGAAAGATTTGCGGAGACTAATATAAAAAACCCTTATAACTTATCTTAGTTAGAGGCCTCAATTGACATATGTCAAAATAATCCCAATTAATTTTGGCACAAAATCCAATAAGATTTAAGCTATGTCCCTAACTCCAAATAAATTTTGTCACAAAACCCAATGGCAATTTGTAATTTTCAATTTGTTTAGGGGTCAAAATGTAATTTCTGGATTTATTTAGGAGATTGTTTGTAATTATTTAGATATTTCAAAGGGTTATTTACAACTCTTGAATTTCTCAAGGGCTTGTTTGTGGTTTTCATAATTTGAGGGGTTTGTTTGTAATTTTTAGACTTTTCGAGGTTCATTTGTAACTTTGGGCACTAAGGGATTTTGTTTATAATTTTTAAAATTTTTAAGGGATTGTTGGTAATTTTTAGGGTTTTTTAGGTTGTTTGTAGATGTTAAATTTTAAGTGTTTTTTTTTTGTAATTTTCAAACTTTTAAGATATTTTTTACAATTTTTTAATCTTTTAGGGGTTGTTTGTAATTTTTAATATTTTTAGGGGTTTATCTATTTTGGATTTTTGGCCTTGTTAATATTTTTTACGTGAAGGGGGGTTGTTTGTAGTCTGTAATATTTACATTTTTAGGGGTTTATTTATAAATCTTAAGATATTTAAAGTTAGTTTTTAATATCATTTTTTCCAGATAGCTTTTTGCAATTTTTTTAAAGGGTTTGTTGTAGTATTTATATTTTGGGGGTTGTTTGTAATTTTTGAATTTTAAAAGGCTTTGAAATTTTCAAAATTTTAGGGGGATATTTTTCATTTGAAGACTTTTTTGGGGGCTACTTGTAGTTTTGATTTTAGTCTATTTTGTAATTTTAATTTTTATGTTTGAGCCAAAAAAAATTTGTGGGTTTGGGGGGTGGGGGCTATATTGTTTGCTGATATCGAAAAAACCCATTAATTACTTGATCCACTGTAATAATCTTCATTATCATCCAAGCCCTGAACCTCCACCTATGTGACTCTTGTTGGTTTAGGTGTAGACCAAACCTGTCAGGCGAGCTCGAGTCGACGCTGCAGGCGAGCTCACGATCGTCAGGCGAGCTCGATGTTGAGGCGAACTCGAGTACTTTCACAGGCGAGCTCGAGAACTTTCAGGCGAGCTCCTCGAGCGCAGGCGAGCTCCTCACAGGCTATCGACAGCCTGTCGACAACTCAGGTAGGGTTTCCCTATAAAAGGGAAACACAGATCTCGTGGGGGTGTGTGCGTCGGCTTCTTCTCTCTCTCGCAATTTTCCCCTGGCGGCACCCCCCTTCTTCTCTGTTTTTTTTTCTTCTAGCTCATGCTGAATTTATTGAGGGAGGAATTAAGTAAGGGGGATTTAAAGAAGAGGGGGATTTGATTTAAGAGAGGGAATTAAACATTATAGCTACAGTGTTAGTATTGCATTTATTGAGAGATCTCAAGTTTAAGATCCGCTCTTGTATTATAATTTCTTGTTAATTAATAAGAAATTAATTGTGTGGTTCCCGAGGACGTACGCAAGTTTACCGAACCTCGTTAAATCTTGGTGTGTTTTTTTCTATACTACGTTTTTACTATTTTAGGGGTTTAACATAGCCCTGAGTGTTTTCCAACAACTGGTATCAGAGCTTGAAACGATTTAGAGGAAGTCAGATTTAAGTAGGAGCAATGACCACAGATGAAGGAAAAGTGAGATTAAAGAAGTTTGATAAAATAGATTTTGAATTCTGGAAAATGCAGATAGTGGATTATCTGTATCAGAAAAATCTGTATCAACCCTCTTGGGGAAGAAGTCGGATTCTATGAAGGAAGATGAGTGGAACCTTCTAGACAGACAAGCCATCGGAGTTATCAGATTGACATTAACTTGTAATGTTGCATTCAATATTGCGAAGGAAAAGACCACGACAGGTCTTATAGCAACACTCTCAAATATGTATGAGAAGTCATCAGCTAAAAATAAAATTTATTTGATGAGGCGGTTATTCAATCTGAGAATGGCGGAAGGCGTGTCAGTAGTATAACACCTCAATGAACTCAAGACGGTCACAACCCAATTGAGATCAGTTGAAATTAAGTTTGATGAGGAAGTTCAGACGTTGATACTTTTGCCTTCTCTACCAGAGAGTTGGAACGCTACAGTTACAGCTGTGAGTAGTTCATCAAGAAGCAACAAGTTAAAGTTCGATGACATTCGTGATCTGGTTCTCAGTGATGAGATCCGACGGAGAGAGTCGGGTGAAGCTACAACCTCTTCAATATTACAAACAGAGTCAAGAGGTAGAAATTCAACCAAAGGGAATGAACGAGACAAATCAAACTATAGAGGTAGATCAAAGGATAGAAGGTCCGAATCCAGGAATCCAAACAACAGCTCGAAGGCTATCGAGTGTTGGAATTATGGAAAGACCAGACATTACAAGAATCAGTGCAAGAGTGCACAGAAGGAGAAGGAGGTGAAGGCAGAGGTGAATGTTACTTCCACCTCAGGAGGAGACGACACATTAATATACTATTTGGAGAGTAAGGAGGAATATTAGGTGTTAGATTCAGGAGCGTCGTTCTGTGCTACTTCTTAGAAAGAATTCTTCGAGAAGTATGTTCCCGGAAATCTTGGATATGTATACCTTGATGATGATCAACCGTGTACTATTTTGGGCAAAGGTGTAGAAAAAATTAAGTTGAACGAGTCAGTATGGGAGCTGAAGGATGTCAGACATATTTCCGACCTGAGAAAAAACTTAATATTCGTAGGCTAGTTGGCTGGCGAATGATATACTATAACCTTCTATGGAGATGATTGGAAGATCTCAAAGGTGCAATGACGATTGCTCAAGGCAAGAAGACTAATACCCTATATATGATAGCAGATGGATGTTTTTTGAACTCAGTTGCAGCAGGTAATGAGACTTCAAAGCTGTGACACCAGAGACTCAGTCATATGAGTGAAAAGGGGATAAAGATTATGCACATAAAGGGAAAACTCCCAGGTTTACAATCAGTAGAGATTTATATTTATGAAGAATGCATTCTTCACACTTCGAAAGCAGAAGAGGGTTAGCTTTTAGACAAGTGGTAGAACCCTAAAGAAGGAGAAGCTTGAGCTTATTCACTCAGATGTTTGGGGACCAACAACCACCGTATCCATTGGTGGGAAAATACTACTTTGTGATTTTTATCGATGATCACTCTTGGAAAGTGTAGGTCTACTTTCTGAAGCATAAGTCAGAAGTATTTGAGACTTTCAGAAGATGGAAAGCCATGGTCGAGAATGAGACCGATCTAAGAATAAAGAAGCTCAGGACCGATAATGACGGTGAGTATGAAGATACCAAATTCAAAAAGTTATGCTATGAGCACGGGATCAGAATGGAGAGAATCGTGCCCGGTACGCCTCAACACAATGGTGTAGCTGAGCGGATGAACAAAACGTTAATAGAGAGAGCGAGAAGCATTCTGATACAGTCAGGCCTACCGAAATAGTTCTGGACAGAAGCAGTCAACACAGCAGCTTACTTGATCAACCGAGGTCCATCGATTCCATTGGAGCTTAGAATATCAGAGGATGTATGGTGCGGAAAAAAGGTAAAACTCTCGCATCTCAAAGTTTTTGGTTGTGTAGCTTATGTGCATATTAGTGATCAAGGCCAGAATAAGCTTGATCCCAAGTCAAAGAAATACACTTTCATCGGTTATGGTGAAGATGAGTTCGGCTACCGTATTTGGGACAACGAAAATAAGATAGTGATCCACAGCAGAGATGTGATATTCAACGAGAAGGTAATATACAAGGACATGCACAAGACCGATAACTCAGAGAGCGAGTCAACATTTATAAATGCAGATGATGTCTTGAGTAACCTCTCAGAAGAACCCAGTGTAGAAGGTCCTCAGCTAGAAGAGCCTATTGAATAGAACGGTGCGCAGGAGCCCGACGTACCAGCTCTGATATTAAGAAGATCTTCTTGGCCTCCTGTGCCCAACAGGAGATATATGAACTATCTGTTATTGACAGATGGATGGGAGCCTGAAAGCTATGATGAAGCTTGTCCAAGTGGAGATGCGTGCAAGTGGGAGTTTGCCATAAAAGAAGAGATGAAGTCTCTCATCTCTAACCAGATGTGGGAACTAACTGAGTTACCCACGGGTAAGAAGGCGCTCCATAATAAATGGGTGTATCGGGTAAAAGAGGAACATGATGGCTCCAGAAGATATAAAGCCCGACTAGTTGTCAAAGGATTCCAAGAGAATGAAGGAATTGACTACACTGATATTTTTGCTCCTGTGGTGATGCTAAATACTTCAGGACAGTGATGAGTATTGTAGCTATTGAAGATTTTCATCTTGAGCAGTTAGATGTGAAGACGACGTTTCTTTACGGAGATCTAGAAGAGGAGATATACATGCACCAGCCAGAAGGTTTCTCAGAAGAAAAGAAGAAGAACCTGATATGCAGACT